GCCAACCAGGGTTGCTTCTACTTGGTTCAATATGCTGCGATCCTAGGCACACACACAAACACATGCCTGGGAGCAATAAACTCCGATGCAATAAGCACTGGAGTTTACTGTATCACATTAATATGCACATGTAGACACACACACAAATCGCTAAACTGCTACAGACTAGTATCAAGACATAAACCAGGATCATGAGAAGAAAGTACGGCATACATGTCTGTATGTTGCTGAGATTCTGTGATGGGAAACCCTTAGTACTACTCTAAATTTGAATGAAAAAGTACTGCATGTGATCCCTGGAATTGAATGCATTTTTCAGTTTCCCTAATTCAGTGCAACATGCCAGAAACAATAACACTTTTCTTCTTCAAATCTTTCCTTCAAATATTTCATTTTGTTCAGCCTTACATCACCAATCCTCTCTTTGGTATTGTGTTCACATTGTCATGCATTAACTGTTTATTATTCGCATTTTGTCTCTTTGCTTGAAAAAAATAAGTCTTAGGGCCTTGTTACACCTGATACTGCGAGCTGCACTGTGTTCCATGTTAGTGCTAGTTCAAGTTTGAAGCAGTCACACTTCAGTAGGGGCCTGGAGGACTGAAAGGTAAGAATCCCCCACACTCCCATTCTGCCCTTTCCCCCTGTCCTCCCCCGTCCCCCCCGGGCTTCCTCTCCTGCCCCCACTCCAACTCCATCCCCACATACTTGAAGCTGCCTGGCTGCCTGTCCAAGGGGAATCAGGCAGAGAAGGGTTAACTTGCCTGCCCAGCTGCTGTTGCCTGACTGCTGCTCTTCTTGAGGCTGAGTCCTTATAATTCAGTATGAAGATGGTAAGATCTCTGGCCATTCTGATATCATCTGGAGGGGATTTCCATAATTGTGGGCCTACTGCCAAGAAGGTCTGATCCCTTGTGTGTAATGGTGCATCTGCCTGTTTTGGATATTTTTACTCCTTGGGGAAGGACCCTTATTTACCAATGTGTTCATAAAGCAGTATGTACCACTACAGGATTTCAGAAATCACCGATGATAAGACTAGGCCAAATCCTTATATCTGTGTTCCAGTTTCATGTGCAAATGCCCTGGCCTATTCCTGTTGGGGACATTAGCTTCTTTCTTCAGTGTTCCCCTCCAAGGAACAATCTGGGCCTGTCTACTTGTGAATGTACGCATACCTAAACTTAATGCGCCTTAGCCTAAGGCACATTAAAGTGGTTTAAGCATGTGTCTACATGTTCATACCTTAAGGCACCTTAATGCAGATTGGTGGGCGAACACGTTTGCAGCCTGGGCTGGGCAGCACCCTGGACAGCCCCCTCATATGTACAGCAGCGCTAGGGCCTGCAGGCAGTGGGTGGGTGCCACGCTGGGAAAATGGCTGGGGGCAGCACAAACAATGACTGCATTCCTGGCTGGGGAGTGCAGAGAAAGATGCAGAGCATGCCCAGGGGCCATGGGGTCTGTCAGCACCACGTGCAGGGCTGCAGTCACTGAACTGTAGCCAGAGGCAGCTTGGCTCCAAGCAAAGAGAGGGCGTGCCTGAACCTCCAGGCCATGTCTAGTGACTTGAGGCAGCTGTACCCAATGCTGGGCCAGCATTGTTCCAAGACACCTGATGGTGCCATAAAGCCTGCAGCAGTGTAGCCAAGCAGTGCAGCCCAATGCTGGCTGAAGCAGTTGGCCTGGACGCAATCAGCCTGGCCCCAGCTCAACCCCCTCCCTGTGTTCCTGCCTTCCCAGCATCAGTCAAGAGTGGGCTGGGCCCAAGCCTGCTGCTGCTGGGTACCACCAAGAAGAAGCAGCGACTTGGGACTTAGTCCCAAGTCAGTTGGCACACTGACAGGTACCGCTGGTGCTGGAAGCACTGCTCTAGTGTCTGCACCTCAGAGAACAATACCTGCCACTTCTTGGCAGCATTTGGCGGTAGCACAGGGCCCTGCAGGCTCAACTCTGGCCCACTCAGTCAACATACACAGCATTAAGGTGTCTGTGCAGAGTAAGGAACAAGTATTTGGGTCTGAGATGAGAGATCTCCAAAGAGACCCATGATCTTGAAGAATGTAGCCCAAGCAAAGCATTCTCTGTTTGAGTCTTTATTTTTATTTATTTATTGGTAATAGGTTTTGTCCTATAGTTTAGGAATAGAATTTTGAATAAAACGTTGTCAGAGACTTTTCTTATTTTTGGACATGCCCTGGCAGCGTACAATGAAAAGTTTGTACTACATTAACCATAAATTTTTAAAAAACATATACCCCTTAGGAGCACTACACTGCTCTTGGGCAAAAAAGGGGATAAAAATGACTTTCAATAAATTCATTATTATAGGGTCATGGATATCTTTGCTGGGACTTTAGTGCCCCAATCTTTCACAAAAACACAGGTGTCTTTATGGTCGGGGCAATGCATGTCTGCAGAAGCCTTTGCAGCTTGCTTTTTTATAATATGAAATGATTGCACTTTCACTCACTCACTCTCAATCTCGCTCTTTCTCTCCCCACACACATAATCACTGCATTTTGCTTTAGAAATACTCATTTATTCTCACTTAATTTCAACCCTCTTCTGGCAAAGAACTCTCAGTTGATGTAACCAGCTGAACTTTTGCTCCATATCAGAATCTTATCTCTGAGCAAAAGCAATTATTTTAGCTGAAAATCTGCAAAATGATTTATTCTCCTTCTGGACAGTTCCTATTCTGTTGCAATTTTTAAAAGTCTTTGAGGACTTCTTACCCCCTACATATTTCCTTAACTGATAGTAATCTATGAAAAAGGAGTTGTGTGGTACCTGTCTCTCTTGAGAATGCTAAGATGTGCTATTATTCATGAGACAAAGCAGTTTAGGACATTAGATTTCCAATATTTCCCTTCAATTCACATTAAAATATTTTTGCCCTGCTTTTTCTCATTGTTAGATCAACACTGAGGATCTGGAAAGCACTCTTACTGTCCTTGTCAAGAAAAAAATCATTCCCATAATAGAGTTTCTTCTTTTAGAGTGCATACCTTCAGTTCGCATGTGATTGTCACCTACATTTTGAAGTGCTTAAGACAGCCTGTGATAGAGAAAGGAGAAAAGGTGCTGCTCCATCTTTTGATCATTACTGAACACATTTGTAGATCTTCAGCAGGAAAGACAACTGTGAACCAGACCATGCACCTAATCAGGCTTTGTACTTTTTGGTAAAACTGATTTCATTAGGACTTGATGGAATCCAGTGGAGAGCTGATAAAAACCAGGAATGCAGTGTTGGTAAATGATTATTAGACATGAACAGGTTTCTTGGGTAGTGAGAGTCATTCCCAAGAACTACTACAGCAGCATTCCCTACACGGACCCTATTCCTCCAGTGAACAGTCTTTGACCCAGACTGTGTTATATTAATATAAATCCAAAGTAACCCCATAAGTACAAAAGACTGAAATTTAATAAATAATACAACAGATATTTTAGATGAAACTTTAACATGGAATCTTCCTCTAAATGGGACCAAAGTTGGTTAGCTGCTATGTAAAGTTTCAGTTAATTTACTGTACCTTGCCCTCCTGGATGGTGACAACATCGGGCAAACCTCCAAGGACGCGGGCACGATCTGAAAATACACAAATACAGTTTCCTTTAATGTCTACACAATCAACTCTGTCCCAGATTTTGTTTCTCCTCCAGCACTTTTCTTTTATCCTGTTTTTGTACAAGTTGTCCCTGGCATATGCAAATGATGAAAGATATTCAGTATTCCTAGCACACCAGTTGTAAAATGGCAAATCTTCTGCAAAAGCCACATGTTAATATCTGCCACCTACTCAGTAAAATTGAAGCATAGGCCTTTGCTTGCAGTTACCTCTGATGAGTTCAGTATGAATACTGGGTATACAAACAATGTAAAAGTGTTTGGCTCAATTTTTTTAAATTTCCAGAGTAAACAGCAATTCTGTGTTTTTAAAAGAGATGAGTTAAAGCCTGTAGAAGAGACTCTGAAGTGGATACTAAGGCTCTGATCTAAATACAAAGACAGATTCTGATTTCAGTTACGCTGTCTGGAATAATTACATTGACTTCATTGGCGTTTCTTTGGATTTATGCAGGTGTAAATGAGATCAGAATCTGGCCTGATTTATTTTAGTTTCAAAACCCTACTGCAATCCCATACAGCTAAAACCATGCCCAGTGCACACAGTTGTTTGCTACAGCTATTCTAGGAAGTGGAGTAAAGTTCTGTTAGTTACAGCTCTTGATCTTGTAGCAAGACATGATGCTTTTCCCTTTAGCTTAGTTGTTGTTCACCACTTTGTAAAATATGGACTCTGCCAAAAATAATCTTTTGAAAAACAGTTGGCAGGTGTAGGGCTTGGGCCAAACTGTATTATGTGATATGCTCCCTCCCTACTCCCCACATCCAACTAAAGTCAGAATTAGAGTATAGCTTGAGAAGACCACTCAATGCTCAGTATGATTACTGGTCACCACATTGATGGTGGTGGCAGTGGTGGGGACTGCTAATTTCCTATGAACCTGCAGGAAGTGGAAAGGTGGGGTTAGGGGCCCAGATCATAATATATTCATTATACTTCATTGTCTTTTCAGATTCTACCCCTGCCTGCATCATTTCTTTGTGGAACAGAAAGATGCAGGAAGTGGGGAGAATTTGCTAAAATATTTCAAACCCCAAAAGCTTGCTAAGAAAGCTTTAAACCTGAAAGTTTGTTAAGAAAAATGTTTACAACTATTTAGTTGGTCTAACAAAAGATATCAGATTTACCCAAAGAACCATGTTGGCCTATGTCCTTAGACCAGAGGTGGGCAAAATGCGGCCTCCCCCAGGCCATTCTATCCGGCCCATGGGGCCCCTAAAAATTTTAGAAAATTAATATTTATCTGCCCTGGGCTGCCTGTCATGTGGCCCTCAATGGCTTGCCAAAACTCAGTAAGTGGCCCTCTGCCCAAAATAATGGCCCGCCCCTGGCTACAACTTATGCCCCTCTAAAATGTTTAATTAATCTGTTTTACTCCATACATCTTTATATAGGACAGGATGCCTAGAGAGCTTAGTCCTTGTAGTCAATGTATAATGGCTTTATTCATGGAATTAATTACTGTTTATGAACAGTGGAATTAATTACTAAATATGTTTTTCCTAATTGAGATTAGGGTTTTTTAATATATATATGTCAAGAAATTCAAAATGTTACTTTGAGAAAGGCAGTGACTTTGGCCCATTATACATAATATTTCATATTACTGTATGTGATGTGAAAACATTTACCACATGGGATAATTCAACAGCAATTGAACAATGTCCTTCCTTCATATCAAAGTTACTTTTGCTTAGAGAAGGCAAAGACATTTCAACCTGAAGCTAATCTCTCAATAAAAACAGAAGCCAAAGCTGCAAAAGTCAACTTATTTATAATAATATTGGGACTAGTTAAATATTATCATGCCAGTCATGGAAAATATCCATTTTTCTATGGTATTAAGATAAACTAATTCTGTCTATCTGTCTGTCACACACAGTTTCAATTCACAGTGCTAAGGAAAACAATCATAAACAATTTTTGAAAATCACTGTAAAAGACAGTCCACTTACTTTTCTCTGCAATGGCAGCTAGCCTGTAGTTGAGGGGGAAAAAAAATTCCAATTTTATTTTATGTTAATTTAGGTTGACTAAGCATGGCTAAGCTTTGTAAGTGCTTTTAATCAGTTAAAGAAATTTTCTACACAGTACATCACTTGCTAATCCTGCTTGTTCCTTATCAATAGAGTTATAAATTTCCATTGACCTTATTAGAACCAAGATCTGGTCCAATGTCTTTTTTAACATCAGTACAAAATGAACGCTACTATATTTTCCCTCTTCTTGAGCACCATTATTGTATTTAAATGACACTTATTATGAGTAATACTTACTTTAACCTCTGGAATTCAGCATAGGCTTCATCAAATGCTTTAAAAAGAAAAATAATGTTAAGGGTATGTTCATAAACAGTCATCATACAACAATAACTTATAACTTAAGTTGTAGCCAATAATTTGAAGATTAAAATTAACCAATTTGGTATCACGTAAGACAAAACAACCAGGTAACTTTACTTTGGTATCATGTAAGACAAAACAACCAGGGATTTAATTAAATGAAGGGCTGATATATATATGCATATCTTAAAGCACCTTAATGCAGATTGGTGGGCGAATGCGTTTGCAGCCTGGGCTGGGCAGCACCCTGGACAGCCCCCTCATATGTACAGCAGCGCTAGGGCCTGCAGGCAGTGGGTGGGTGCCACGCTGGGAAAATGGCTGGGGGCAGCACAAACAATGACTGCATTCCTGGCTGGGGAATGCAGAGAAAGATGCAGAGCATGCCCAGGGGCCATGGGGTCTGTCAGCACCATGTGCAGAGCCGCAGTCACTGAACTGTAGCCAGAGGCAGCTTGGCTCCACGCAAAGAGAGGGCGCGCCTGAACCCCCAGGCCATGTCTAGTGATTTGAGACAGCTGTACCCAATGCTGGGCCAACATGGTTCCAAGACACCTGATGGTGTCATAAAGCCCGTGGCAGTTTAGCCAAGCAGTGCAGACCAATGCTGGCTGAGGCAGTTGGACTGGATGTATATAATATATATATATAAATAAAAGATCAGGCTTAAATGCAGAGAGATGATGAGACAGGCTGTGAGTATCCAACTAAAGCCACATCAGGAACAAAGCTACAATGTTTCAAATTAATTATAGGTTACAAGATATTAACAAAATCTGTTTTTACAAGTACTTTTCACACCCAGTGTATGCAACCGGTCAAACAACAAAATATTTGGTGTTGACCTGAGGCAGCCAGCCCCATTTTTTTTCACTTAAGGAGAAGAAAAGAAACATTTTCACAGAAACTGAAAAACAGTAGAGAGGGGCAACAATGACTACTCTCAGATCATCCTGTCGCTCAGAGTCTACAGGCACAATGAAGCCTCAAGGGTTGAGACGGCTCTGGAAGGAAAGATTGGAGCTTGGGAACAGCCACTGTATCATTGTTCCTCTTGAGATATAAGAGGTTTCTCAGTGGAACTCCATCCCAAGAATTAATCTACACTCTGCACCTGCTCTCCCCTATTCTTATTGCTGGTGAAAGTACCAACATGGAGAATTCTGAACAATGAGATCCTCTGTTTTTTTTCATAGAAGAGCTATCATAGGGGAACAGCAGAGCAAAATTCTGCTCTCTTCCTCCTCAATGTAGCTTATATTTGACTGGGTGTTGTTCAGTACATGCCCATTCAGTTACTCACCCTTTTTCTTAGAATGCCAATCAGTGTGAATAATACTGTGTTTTTTTGTAATGTGAACCAGAAACTGGATTTAGACTAAAAGAAAAGCTGTCATCTGACACTGAGACAAGCTAAAGCCTAAACTGTAATTCACTACTTGAGCACAAGTAAGCCAGGATCGTCCTTAATAAACAGTACCAGGCTGCTTAGGAGTAGCATAAGCATAACAAGAATTAAATCAGAAGAGTAAAATATCTTGCAGCACATAACAACCCACATATCTTAATGTAACTTCTCTCGCAAATCCTGCACTGATTCAGAGATTACTTTTATAGAGTGACTCTTTACCTTGTCCAGAAAGATCCACCATCTTTGTGTGTGTCTTTTTACCATCAAAAATCTCCATTGTATATTTGCCCTTGTCATGTGGAGTTGGCTCATTGATCTGTAACCAGATCTGCTCCCCAGTGACACCAGTCTTAACTCTGTCTGTATATTTAATCTTGGCATCACTGAAAAATACAAAGCAAAATTAACTGTTCATTTTTATTCTACAAAAAAATGTGATGCCTTTTTGGCTTCATTGTACCTATCTACAATACAGAATTTTAGGAAATGATTCCCAGGTGGCGCATGATGCTACATCGCCATAGCTCGTCGCTGCCTCGCTATAGTGCTACGGTGATACAGCTGCTAAGAATAACCATGCACCACTGGGACAGAGAAGCTGTTAATGCACCACCATTTAGTACTTCCTAAAGCAAGTACTAAATGATAGTAAAGTAACAACTGCACCATACGGGGCAGGTGTAGGTGTGCCTAGGGTTCTATATGACCAGAATAAATCAAAATTTGAAGCTTCTGAGGTCATATTCTTACCAGGGATTACACCATGCCAGGAAAGATGAGGGCTACCAGGGGTCTGAGGAAGGCATTTGTCTGTTTTACTTCTAACATTCACAAAGATCAAACCATGTATCTTCCATAACTAGACCTGAAGATGTATCTGTAAGTCAAGACCTATGGGTTATGGTGAGGAGCTCTGTATTTCACCATTTAACCCCACTGTACACCTCACTTACATATTTCCTTCTCAACACAGTTTATTCCTTGCTGAGGAAAAATATAGGATTGGAACTGGTCAGGACACAGGCCTGCAACAAATCTATTATTGTATTATTAATATATGCCCGGCTTAAAGACAGTTTGGCACTATGTCAGAATTTGGTCCTTTAAAACTTTTCATTTATCAGTGTATTCCTTCTACAAAAAACATCCATTTACAAGCTTTCCTGTTATAAAGTTAATTGCCTGAGACAAGTGGGAAAACTGTGTGTCAAAACAGATGCTCATTTCTTTTTTCTCCTTAAATAAATGCCTTGGGATATACTACAGGGTCAAGGAGAAATTTACTAGCATTTACTGGATTAATTCGATCTGTTCTAGTATCCAATTAGTTTCTAAAAACAAAACAGATACCTATAAATGAAAAAGTGCAACAAAGTGAGGCCATGTGATATTAGCTTCCCATTATGATGATGCCACCCCTGAGGAAAACCATTGGTTGTTACAACATCACTCTTACGCTACCTTCAATATTTCTGACAGTGTTGACTTGCCTTTCTGATCAGCACCAGTGCCTGTTAGTATAGCTATAATGGCAGAATATCTAATTAGCATTCTATGCCTGTCACTTCCATACAGTTTTATTGAAAAATCAGTGATTGAGATCCTTTTTCATGACAAATTTCTTTTGTAATGACCAGAAGAGGAACAGCAATAATATTCATAATAGATTTTAAATAATCATAATTACTTACTCTAGTTTTTCCCATGCTCCTCTATTCTGGCTGAAATCTTGGAGCTGTCTAAAAGATTTGGATACTCAGCTCCCATTAATTTTAATGGGAATTTGTCATTCAAATCCTTAAAGGCATTGATAAAGACTGAGATTTTCAATACCTTGTTTAGGTAATAACGTTATAAACTGTTGTGTAGGGAGAGTTTTTCACATTTTTGGAGTTTGCTTGTCTTTTAAAGATGAATTTACATATTGAAAGATTTATAACACACCCGTTTGTTCTGTACCTTTAGTGTCCCTGCGATACTGCCAAGTGATAGACTACCTAACCTCCAGTTAGATGTGATATGCACCAACTTCACAAATGGAAGGCCAGTTAACATTATCTTCAAATTCCTCCTTCAGGCTGCTACAATTAATGGATCTAATTCTTCTCTTTTCTCAGTTTCACACTGGTGTAATGCTATCAAATTCAGTAGCACTACAGTTGATTACATGGGCATAAATAAAAGGATAACTGAGCCCAGTCCTTTTAACACATGAGTTTCTGCTGAATGTCTAAAAACAAAGAATTTACAGACAGCTGGCAAGCTCTTACTTGAGATGTACTTACTTGTGTGACCAGCTCACCCTCAAATCTTCTACATAATGACTAACGAAGGAGTATAATCTGATACCCTCTTCTGTGCTCTGGATTTTCAGTTCTGTTGCAGATAAAGCTGAAAAAAAGAGTACGTGTTTAATACAACCCTACAACCATTCATGGCATGGCACAGTTAATCATTCATCTGAAGGAAGAATTAAATCCTTACCAATTATTCTACATACTTCATTCATCAGATCTGCAAAAGCTGTAGAAACAAAATCCAGAGATTGGGACTCAATGTTCCTAGCTCAGACACTCAGAAATGGGATAAAACTGGCTCTGGAGTATTTTGTCAAAAGAGTTCCTATTGAAATCTTGAGTTAACCTTTTAAAATGTACCAGTTACAAATGTAGTACAGCTACCCTTCTTGTCTTTTCCATGGCTTCGGGGCGTTATTTAACCCCTTCTGTGTTGAAGCCTGCTGCTGTACAATGCAGTAATATGCTTTTTTCTCTATGTGACAGTGTTCAATAGTAACTTTGTCCCCTCTATGACCTATGTACTGAACATGAATTTTGCCCCACTTGGTAGAGTAACTAGCAGCAAGGTCATTAAAGTGTAAGGAGTTCAGTAACTGGAAGTTCTTTGTGGAAACCTCTGATGTCCATAACATGATCTAGTTGTATACTTTTCTTCCATATTTCTGGAATTATTTCTAACACAGATAGCCATATCAGCTGCTACCACTGTTACCTTAGTGGTGTTATCCTGAAGAAAATTACACATAATTGAATTAACAAAAGTAAATTTGAATGCTGTTTGTACTGAAAAGCTATGCCTTCCTATCAAGGGGATCTTATGCCTCTGTAATAAGTTTTGTTTTGTCAGCCTGTTTGTTAAGGAACACCTGAAAAAGATGCAATAGTTCACCTATGTTATCAAAATCTCAAAGCACTGTCCCTTAAGGTACTGATGACCCAGCTGGTCATCAGTAAACCATTCAGAATGCAGTTCTGACCTGCATCCAGCAGCTTAAGCTCGCTTCTGTCCTTTCCTCTGTCATCCTTCAGTATGACTTCATAAATCCCAGCATCTTTCTTGGAGAACTATAAAGTAACAAGAGTAAATATTAGCATTCAAAATGATTATTTTAAAGAACTGGACCATTGTATCAATTGTTTGACTGAAAAGAACAAGAATGCAAAATTCTTCCAGCTATGTGCTTGTTTTAACTTTTCTCTCTTCCTTCTGGGGAACTCAGACACAGAAAGGAGACTAAGGGGCTTGCCTAAAATAATACATGAAGCCTGGAGGAGAGCAGGGAACTCAACCTATCTTTCCTGAATTCTAGTTCAGTGAATAACTTCAAGGTAGTTTTCCTGTCACTGATTGATAGGAATGAACGTTCATGATAGGGATAATAATCCCTTTCCAAATGCATGTAACATACAGCAAAGTAATATTATCTGACTCTTACATGGAACTTGGAAGCTCATTATTTTTTTTTATACCATTTCATAAAAATCTGCATTCATAGGATTATAAATAGAAATTTGCTTTAGCTGAAACCTAGATGTAAAGTGAGCTTTTTTTATAACCTATATCCAAGTACTTGTTTTTAGTAGTTCTGTTGAAATATCAGATTCAATCAAATCTATGAATTCAACTGAATAATATGGATCTCTACATTGAAAATGCACCTTCACTCACCTCTGATATCAGAAGAGTACATACACCATCTTTAAAGTCATGTTCCTCATCCACCATTATTTCCCTGTCATCTTTGTACCAAACGATGTGTGTTTCCTTCTTAATGTTAGCCACCTGTAGCATATACAAAACACAGTTGGGTTATCATCTTCTTTTAACACAATTAATTTAATGCTGCATCTACTAAACTCTTTCCTGAGATGGCACAGAACCCACAACAAAAATAAGCTCCTCAGAAAATGGATTAATAGATTAGGAAACAAAAAGTGTAGGTCAAAACCAGGAATCCACAGGCAGGGAGGGAAAATACAGTAGGAGCTATTCTGAGAGAGTTCAAGGAGTCAGCCTAGAGCAGAGGTATCAAACATATGGCCATTGTCTTGCCCCTAGTGCTGCCCCTGGGTCTGAGTTGACCCATACAAACTAGCCTGGCCATGCAGGCAAGGACCAGGACATACTGCATACCACCACTCTGGGATCTGCACAGCATGTTGGCCCTGTCCCCCTCACCAGTCTAGGTGCCTGCAGGTGCTACATGCAATGTGGGTCCCAGACCAGGTGGACTGGTCATTGTATGCAGCACAGATCCCAAAGTAGCCAGAATGACCACTGCATATTGTGGATCTGTCATGTCATGGTTGGGGAGGAGGCGTTGAGGAGGACGGGGGGCCCATGAGCCCAATCTGGCCTGTGTACCCATACCAGCCTCTCACCACTCATCCAGACCTGGGGCCAGATGAGTTTGACACCCCTGGCCTAGAGGAACTATGCTTAGTTATGTGAACAGGCATGAGACCAAAAATAGGTCTTATACATTCAGAGAATCCTGTTTCAGCTTCCTTTTCTTGGCAGTCAAATGGTTTACAGCCCTGGAGAGTAAAGTTCAGTCTATTTGTCCATTATGTCCTTGAGCTTTCTTCTCAGACAGCCAAGGAGAGTGCCATTTTTGTTGTTGTTGTTGGTTTTGTGTTTTTATTTTCTTGTAACATAGACATGGATGCACTAGACACAAGACTTATACCCTCGGCTCTTCAGACGTAGTTAGCAGCCAGGTTATAATGTCTGACCTAAGGTTGGAGGCTCCAAAACAAGGGGAGCCTAGGAAAGGGACTGAGAGACTGTGCCCTTCCAATTCTCTCAGTCTCTTTCCTAGGTTCCCCTTATTAGTTTATGTTTGTATTACAATAGTTTCAAGAGGCCTACAGGTTCAAAGCACTGCACATATACAAAAAACAGAGTCCCTATCCTGAGCAGTTTACTCTTCCTCCTGATTTCTTTCTCCTCAGGCAGAAGGATTAAGGCTTTGCTGTTTTACTAGGACATTGTACTCACCAAAAAACAGTGGTCTGACCTGATCCAATATTGTACTACTAACTTGACTTGGATTTGGAATATAAGGGTGACTTAACCACTGCACTCTCGCCAAGCTGTTTTGGGCTCAGTAGTGCCTGGTAGGCCTATGTCTGTGTAAGGAAAGCCTGAAAACACCAGCACTAGAAGGATTTGTGTCCAGAGGCTCCATCTCTCATGGCTTTATCCAATATCCAGGTGGAGCATACTTGTTACTAAAATGTGCTTTAATTAAGAGCAGTATGCTTCCCTTCCTCTAACCAATTCTGGTTTTAGGGGCCCTTGCTTCTACTGAGACCCATCTCAAGGCAGCACAGGAAGGTAAAGGGAACTTTCTTGATCCCTTCTCTACCCTTCACTTCTGTGCAATGACTTGTCATACCTG